GTTGGCAATTCAGATATGCAAAAGAGAAGCCACGAAGTGCTTCCTTTAAGTAAAAATTTAAAGTTCAATGAAAAAGCCGTATGATGAGGTTGCAAAGATCTAGAAGAACAAATCTTCTATCCATGAAAATGTAAAGAAGGAAAAAGAGATTTCTGCTACTTTTTCTGTCACATCTCAAACTGCAAAAGTTATGTCCATGATACATATGTACTTCACTAAGATGAAAAAAGACATTAAATTTGTGAGTGGAAGACGTGACCAGAAACCATGTTCCAATTAATGACAATGTGTTGTATCAAAAAGTACTGAGGGTATTTATTACGAAGACTTCAGCAAGGGATCCCCTGAAATGAGTGACATCAAGCCATTTACTGTAGGGAATGGTTATACATATTAAGGAATAGATTTGGACTGAAATAAAAAAAAATACTGGAGAGCCTGCATCTGCCCATGAGGAAGCCGCTGCCACCATTATTACAAAGTTTAATAAGTTGATTAAGGAGAAAAGATACCATTCAAAGCAAGTCTTCAATCATGATAAAACTTGGCGCATCTGGAAGATTCTCAAGAGAACCTGCATTCATAAAAATGCAAAGGAGGCACCAGGACATAAAACATGGAAGAACAGTCAGACTGCTCCTTTTGACTGTTCCAAATTCTCGCACTTTATTTGTGAGAAGTAAATTGCTTGTCTCACTACCTAATAATGAGAACACAACAACAGAAAAAAAGTATGATAATTGTTCCTTACAAAAATCAGACTCTTGGAAGTTATAGAGTGTCTGTCTCATTTCAAAATACCCTTGCTTTTTTATGGGCTATACCAGTATTCTTGCTTCTGCTTGAGTTGAGGCTGGAATATTGGGTGCATCACGATGAGGTATATCGGACCATCCACCTCCTCATCTGAAGACTGTCAAACAAAATGGTTACGAGCACAGCCTGGTAGAGTAAAAGAGCATGAGTGCTTCTGATGGGCATTAGGAAGCAGAGTTCTGTTTACTCTGTTCCTGTAACTCACACGGATTCAGCAAGTAATCCTGCAAACTTCATGTACATTGGGGCTTGGAATTAATGCCAACAATCACTAAAGTCATTATTCTGTATGGGGAAAAATAAGGAAGGATAGATTAATTCTTGTACTATATGACAACACTGCAGGGCATATGATAAAGCCAGGCATAAGACACAAAAAACACATATGCTTTCACAAACAAAACCAAAAATTATCTGCCCATGTTCTAGCAACATAATCAGAAAGCATGAGTGACAGTTATCTTGTTTATGGAATAGTTCCACCAAGATTTCATGGAATAGCAGTAAAACAAACAACAACAACAACAAATAAAACACTTGTAAGAGAGTCCTATTAATAGCAGACAATTCACCTGATCATCCTGAATCTGTTTTTTATGAAAAGGAAAATGTCAAAGTTTTATTTTTACCTCTAAATACAACCTCATTGCTTGAGCCCCTTTAACCAGGGCATCATTGTTTGTCAAGGCCATAAACACATACCTGATATTTGATTGCATTCAATCAGTAATTAATGGATACCTTAATCTGGGCATAATGCAGTGCAAGAATTCATTCACTAATGCTGATGCAGTGACATTCACCAAAGCTGCAATGAAGGAGCTAAAGTGGAAAACTGTAAATTCCTAAAAAAAAGGGGACATATAATACTTTCAACAAAAAAAATTTAAAAATAAATAAATAAAGGCTTCCAGGGATTGATGGTGAAGTGAGAAAAAATCATTCACACAGCAAGACAAGTTGATGGAGAAAGATTTGCTGACATATTTTATGAAGTTAGAGAACATATTGAGGGCCATCAAGTGTTAACAAATGAGGATTTGGAAGAATTTGTTGAGTTGTCTACAGAGGAAGAGGAAAATGAAGAAACTGAGACAGAACCAGCAATGTGGACATTACCAGCATTTGTTGAAGTGTTTCTAATTGCAGGTATTAAAGGACAAAATTAAGGAATATGACCTTCAGATAGAACTCAGATTAAAGTCACCCACATGATCACCAAAGGATTACCTGGACAGCAACATTTCCACGAGTTAAAATAAAAAGACAACAATTTCAGGTTGCAATGTTCTTCAAAAGGTTTCAGAAAAAAAAAACATCAAAAATTGGAGATTCCCAACCATTGACATCATCTGCTTCTGATATGCATCAATGTCATGGCACAGTGATCCAGGATCACTTAAACAGATGAATCTCCTTACATATCGTCAGGACAATAGTAGCCTAACATTACAACACAGTGTCTACATCATTCACCTCAATTTAACTCATCACGTACGTATTTTATCATTTCACATCATAAGAAGGGTGAATACAATACAAAAAGATATTTAGGAGAAACTACATTGACATAACTTTTATTACATTATATTGCTATAATTATTATATTTTATTAGTTATTGTTAACCTCTTACTGTTCCTAATTTATAAATTAAATTTATCATAGGTATATATGAAAAGTATATGGTGCTATCGGAGATTTCAGGCATGCACTGGGAGTTTTGGAAAGTATCCACTATAGATAAGGGGAACCTACTGTAGCTCTACCGAATTTTATCATAAAGCACAAACAACTGTAGATGAGGTGTAAATTAACACAAAAATGTGGAGATAAACATAATGACAATATAGTATGTATTAATTGCTACTTCATGTCTATCCCTATGTAGCACTGACTCCTCCAAATGCTGGATATACTCATGTTGATATTATTACTATATTTGCTATATAAATCCTATACTAAATGTAGGTGCTCAGAAAATACAATTGTTTTCATGTCAGAGAGCCTGGGACAAGGGCCAGACAGGTGAAATGTACAGGAAATAGTTGACTTAGCAAGTGTAAGTTGCTCAAACCTTGCACATTCCCAGAAGAGTCTGTTTTCATCAATGGCCCTTATCCAAATGCTGGACATTGAGGTCTTAGAATGTTTTAACTCATAAAAAGTTTTTTTGCACACTTGGAGCTTCTTTGAACTACACTGGACCAATATCTAGATAGTCTATGTAAATAATTAGATTTATGGTGATCATTTGCTTTTCTTAAGGTGGTCTGTTTTGATAACTGTGCTCTATCATACAGGCAGTATGCCTATGTTACAAGCCCAAATAAAAACTCTGGAATCTTATGCTCAAGTGAACTTCCCTGACAGACTATACTTCACACCTATTGCTACACTTTGTAAATACAAGAATTAAGTATATCCTGTGAAGATCCACTGGAAGAGGACACTGGAATCTTGAACCTGGTTTTCTCCAGATTTTGCAGCATGCACCTAATTCCCTTTGCTGATTTTTCTTTGTATCATTTTGCTGTAATAAATCATAACCATAAATATAATGAATTCTGAGTCTTATTGAGTCCTGGGAGTGGTCATTGTGATCCCCAGCACAGGTACACTACATAATATTCAATTAATAAAAAAGAACACAGTAATGGAGGAATAAAGCAGGTATATAAGATATATAAAATAGCAAAATTATAGATGTAAATCCTACTTTATCAGTAATTAAATGTAAATAAATAAATAACAGGAGACTTATCAAAAATGTACAAGAAAGGCAGTCACTAAAGTACTGAAAGAAAAAAACAGCTGCCAACCTAAAATTCTATACTAGTGAAATATCTTTCACAAGTGGAGGTGAAATAGAGACTTTTTTTCTGACACAATAGCTGAAAGACTCCATTACTAGGAGAACTACACCATAAGAAATGTTAAAGGAAGTAATATGGATAGAAGGATAATAATACCTGATAAAAATCTGCATCTACACGAAGAAATGAAAAGCACCAAAAATGGATAAATAATAACTTCTTTTTTTCTTATTTCTTTTACATCCTTTTACATATCTTTAGTAGCACCAAGGCTGGGAGGGATGGAAGGATATTGTTTAAATTTTTATATTATACACAAAATAGACTGTGATAAGTTAAAGGTGTATATAAACCCTAAAAAAACAAAATGTATTATATCTAATAAGCCATTAAGAGATAAAATGCAATGATAAATATTATTCAATCCAAAAGAATGTAGAAAAAGAAGAAAAAGTGAATAAAGAACAAATGGGTCTACCATAGCCACAGACAATGGGGCGGTGAGGGCCTGGGGCGGGGACAGGAGGAGGGGGTCAGGGGGAAAATGGGGGCCATATGTAATACTTTCAACAAAAAAAGAATTATTTTTAAAAAAGGACAAATGGGCCTAATAGAAGGCAAATACAAATAGCAAGACGGTAGGTTTAAAAACATTCATAACAATAATCACATTAAAGATGGCAAAGTGGGTAAATGCCGGTACTCACAACCACATCAAAATTACAGAACAACCATCATTCAGAAACACCTGAAATCTGGCTGAATGGAAGTCCTACAACTAGAGAAGTTGTCCTCTTTCTAGGACATTGATGGCATTAACAGTACTTAGCCCTTCCTTGTCATCATCCAGACATTCCTGGTTTGATCTATGTAAGTTAAAGTTACAGATGCAGAAAATGCCCCACCATTTTTTCACTGCTATACCCTACCAGCACTATATAGGGTAGGAAATGAGTCAGGAAGAACATAATGGCTTGGATGAAAAGATTATATATATCCTGGGTCTGCCAATTGAAGATATTAAGGAAATGTAAAATACATGAAAGAATTTTTTTCATCCTCTCCAAGTCAGCAGCATATAAAGTACTGGAAAGTAAATAGTAGAGGAAGGTGAAAACAGCCACAAAAATGAAAACTCCCTAGAACTATAAGCAAACTACACAAAATGCAAACTATACTGGGCCAAAGTACTTACTCCCATTTGGGTTTATTTGTGGCTGCAAGAGAGGTTAATAAATTAGGGAACAGTTTCAATGTACTGAGGGGTAAGCAATTGGCATAAGAATACTATTAAAATATTTTCTAAGAGTTGTGTGTGTTTCATTGTTGAATTTGGTGCCGACAGTTAAGAAAGAACCAAATAAAATAAAGAAACCTCAAATCTTTTCTTTTTACTATACCCACTTCCAAAAGTTACAAAGCATCTTTAATACAATTTTCTCTGCAAGTCCTCAAGTGAATCAGTAAAACAGATAGAAACTCAAAATATAACTGTAATATTACACAAGATAATTAACTTTCCTTTAATAACTTAGTCAGTTCCAAAGTATTTCTGTCCAAAATGTGTAGGTGCAACAGGATGAACTTCAGTAGTTAAAATTGTGATATCTGGGAACTCTTGAATGATTGATTTGGCACCTTCAAAAAAATAAAAGGAAGAAAATTATTATTAATGCAGGATTTTTGGTAACATTAGCTTGAATTCAGGAATTTTACGGTCAGTCACTAGGCCTCATATTGACAGAGGATAGAGAGCAATGACCTTTGAGTACCTAATGAGATTTGGTCTCTTAGTTTTTTAATGTCTGATATCTGAAAAGCTTTGATAGTAGTCAGATTACACCCTCGCTCACTCACTAATAAATTCTTACAATCAATTATTTCATATCCATGATTTGAAAAATATATTCAGTTATAGTTAAAGGCAGCTGGAATAGCCTCTGCCCTCCATGCTGCCACCAGAGTCTTTCTAAAATGCGCTGCATTGCCTAGAAGATAACCTGCAGACACTGAAGTTAATATGCGTGGACAACTCTCCATGCCTTGGCTTCTTACTCTTCTCAAGAATTTTTTTTTTTTCGGAGAAACTAAGATGGCGGCATAGATAAACACCGGGAAATTGCTGCCTCCCACAACAATTGAATAATACATCAAAAACACAAAACGGACATCATCCAGAACTAAAGGAAGGCTGGCTGAGTGTAAATTCTACAACTAGAAGGAAAGAAAAGCACACTGAGAGCCAGAGGAGCTGTGGAAGTAAAGTGCAGAGGTAGGGGGCTCGCGAGCGCGCGGAAAGGGTCTGGCACCTGAGGACGCGGCTGTCTTTTTGAATCTGGAGGGAGTCACAAGCTCCCGCCG